GAGAAACAGCGAAATGAGCTGTTTTGCAAGAAACCATGTGGCTTGTCTGACAGAGAAGCATGAATTAAACAGAATGGAGGGGTTCTGTAATGCAGCAATTATGTGTAACTGCTGATATGCAAACCACAAATTTCACATCATCATCTCTCACATCTATTATTAATACAGAGGAAACAAACACACATAAAAATACATAGACCCACCTTCCTCCCACCCACAATTCCTGACAAATCACTATTAGCTTATGTTTATCTTTTTAGCATGTAGCAAAAGGAACAAATCAGGAACTAAGACAAAATCAGAAAATGGTAAGAGGTAGCGCTATCTGTAAGTTTAAGGTGTAAGGTTTGATGTGCTAACGGTCAGGTTTAGTTAGTAGGCCAGGAGAATATGCAGCTCAAAAAAGGCGCACATAAAAAGGTATATTTTAGTCTTGTGCTGAAATGTAGGAGGTGGCATGTATCTGTGTTTAACATGAGTGAACAGGGACCGGTATTTACCTTCTCCAGCCAGTCATGGGCTCCACTGCTCCTTTCAGAGACTGTCCGAATGTTATCATGACAGAAACCGGCCACATGATCATGAGAACGAGAAGCAAGAAAATGCCACGGAACGGCACAAGGATGATTCCCCGAAGAAAACACTAGATACACAGATAAGATAAAAATTGACACACTACATTAATATAACGTAGTTAATATATTTTTTAATACATTTCATAAACTTATCTACCATTCAAATAACCCAGCACAACTTACATCCTTGGCTACAGGATGACTTAAAAGTATTATGTGGACATGGAATGCAGTCAAGACCTGTCTGGAAAACATTCGTCAACCAATCAGATTCAAGCATTCAACAGCCCTGTAGTATATACATATACTCATCTAAATTTAAAAATAAAAATAATTATAAAAATAAGTAAAGATAATATATATTTTTATACTTTTATTGAAGAACATACACTTTTTAAAATGTCTGGAATCAGAAAACAAAATAGTTTGAAAAAGCATCTTCGACATAATTATAGTAAAAAAAAAAAAAAACTAAAATAGCTAAGCATATAAGAGGGGGTTGGGTTACCTCAAATATTGTGTTGGGAAAGGTTGAGAAACACCGACTTAGCATGTAAACTAGCTAATTTTAAACATAGTGTCAGAGATCTTGATTGTGTTCAACAATTAAAAGCATACCATAATACCCTAATTTCCCACTATCTATTAGATTGATATTCTATACTGTAGTAAAAACATCTTATTAACTATTTTAAATGATCAGAAATGCAACATTTATAACATTCTCTCTACCACATGTTGTGAACTGCGTTACTGCGTGATTTTCCCTTATTACAAAAACGGTAACACTGTTTAAAATTGTAACATACAAGAAGTAACATAATTTAAACACTTTCGGCAGCACAGAGGGAATTGTATTTCTCATTTGTTTACTAATCTCACTAATTAAACATTTTCTACATTTGTTGAGAGCATTTGCTAGTCCTTTTCCCTATTCAACCAGTAAGATTTATCAATTATCGAGGAAGGAGAAAATAAGAGAGTTCATGCAATGCAGAGGAAAACGGATCATAGGCAAATCAAACAGAAGTGAATACATTAATACGATGAAGACCTGAATGACGTCAGTGAAGAATAATATTGACAGGCATGTCATAAATGGAGAGCAGCACTCACTTTGATTTTATCGGCTTTGGTTAACTTAAGGTCGTGCACGAATGGGTTGATGACGGCGGGCAGCAGCAGGGAACGCTGTCTGGGCAGCGCGAACACTCTCTGTGGAGACATCTTCACTCATCACAGCAGCAGCGTCTTCTTGTGTCCAAGCCTCTGTCAGCGAAGCGCTTCCTCTTTACACACCACAAGCACCACCTCACACATGACTTAAGCCCTAGCGGTCTGCGGATGTGTTTCACAATCAAGTGAGCTACCTAACTAGAAAGCAATTGTTAATCATAGACAAGGCGCGTGCTGCATGCAACTTTGGCCATGATGGCCATCTCAGGAGTCTGGAAGTGTTTCGGTGTGTGCACCGGCTGCCCCGAAATGCGCTTATAATGTCCTAAAACGTTGTGTAACTAGGCAGCTCAGTAGGTTTTTGAGACAGAGCCGGTGTGTTTACACCCCACCTCTTAGGGACATAATCCTATTAGCCATGTAGTAGTCACTATGTGCCCTAGTTGTTACTCTCTTGTCTACAAGTTAACCTATGGGATGATATTAGACTCAAAATGATTAATAGATGCACGCACAATCAGTTTTTAGATTATGCGCTGGTCTAGTTATTCTGAATGGATCGTATAGTAGCATGTACAGTACGATCAAGACAGCAGGTTTAGTGGTCTTTTGGCGTCTCCCTGTGTTCCTATTTGATATCGCAGCTTGACTGGTGCTTATTTATATTAAAAAGGTTTTCTGTCTGTCTTTTGTTGCTTGATTAACATCAATGACTCGGACAATAGCAACTAAATTAGGCTGCTGTCCCTTTAAAACCGAATGCACGGCTGCAATGGATGCAATGTACTGAATACACGTTCTTCCTACTGTTTACGTTCACTTAAGACGTAATCAACTGTGTTTACATGAATACTCATCAAAACGGACAATTCGACATAATTTTGTGTGTAATTCTCCGTTCATGCGACGCGAAAGAGTACTCGCGCGCTGTGAGACGCATTTTGTGTGTATAGTGTCTGCGCTCAGAAAACCGAATTGAGTTCTCTCTCTTGCGTCGTCAGATTTATGCATATGTCTGCTCTTCTCTTACTCCCACATATTGACATTTTTTGAACGTTTTATGCGACGTGCAGCAAGTGTATTTTAGCTTATGTCCCGCCGGTTCATATGTATACATAACCTTCGAGCCACGCAGCAGATTCGTTCTGAATGAATCTCATCCCAAATCGTCCCTCCCTAACATTTTCGTCTTGTTTTTATCCGTTGACGAAAATGTCAATAGATTTACGACATAGGTTTTGTCGTCGTCGGTGAAAAAAATTTAGTTGACGACAATTATGACGAAAATTATTCGTCAACGAAATTATCACTGGTTACAACTAGACGGCAAAAGCTATTCTCCGCTCTTCAAACACACAAAAAACATTAGCCTTTATAGATATAGTGTTTTAGTGACGAAAACGCTGTACTTATTCAAACATAATTTATTATTTACTCTTGCATTGCGAACAAGCCGAGATCTGTCTCCAGGCTGCGCGTGTTGCGCGGCACTTTGTTCTGAATGGAAGCAGGGTGAAGTTACGAGGTTTTGCTGACAGTTTGAGGATCCATAGCGTTAAAAAGTTTAGTGATAAGCTCTTTTGAATGCTTTTCATTGGTTAAATATTTGTAAAACCCTCAAACAGACATAAGGAAGACCAATAGCAATGATTTAAAACAATAATAACGAAATATAATAGAGAGTTTGGATTTTCCACAGCACACCTGACTGGGCTAGGGTATGGCGACTGCCATACTCTGCCATACGGAAACACCGCCCCTGCGCACAATTATCCATGTAGGCCTATTGCATACATTTTATCTATGTATCTTACTAACCACAAACAAATGCCTTTCAATTCGAGTCTGTGGAATTCGGGATTAAATGATTGTGCAGCTACTTGAACAAATACAGACACGTTTGCGAATAAAAATGTTCTGTTCTGCATTAATATCATAAATTGCTCATGCAAAAAGGAATCCGTGCATTTGTGGATTTAAATAAAATGTATGCAGTACATTGATAATTGTGCATTCATCTATTAATCATTTTGAGTCTAATATCATCCCATAGTTAGGCTAACAGTTTATACCAGTGGCGTCGCAAGCCCTAATGAAATCTTACTGATACATCATTGTCTAACATTATTGTATATGGGGCTGAGAAACATTTTTCTGACCATACTTCATGTCGAGGGCTCCGTTGGCCGGCTGGATGCAGTGATGCTCGACTCAGAGAGTGAATCACTCATTTGAGTCGATTCTTTTTCAAAGGGCTGAACAAACGGGTTAAGGTCGGAACAGTTCGGACACGCACTGAATCGTTTAAAGCGGTTCTTCGCTCAGCACAACAGTAACGGGATATTTATAACATAAAGGACGTAAAATAAAGTACATATTGAATTACCTACAATTCATTGCCAAAACTGCATCCTAGATGTTTTCAGCGACGAATTTCTTAAGTTCAGCAGTGCATTTACTAGGTAAAGACATCTTCAAACCAAAAGACTAGCAAAACACTACCACAAAAGCAGTTAAGCTATCAAAAAGTACAATATAAGACTTTTTCAAAAACCCATAGATAAATAAAATAGGGGGTAAAATACATGGTACATAAACATATTGAGAGCTCGACTTTTTATACAATAACCACTAGATGTCGCTGTTTATCTAGATGTGACTAGTATTTAAGGTGTGTAATAATGGGCACCATACTGTTTTCTTTATGTGAAAGTCAAAGAATCATCAATAGGATACAGTACAATGCTTTACAAAAACGTAAATGTTAAAATTTAAAAGTTGAATGACACAATTCCGTGTAAAGGATAGTTAATATTTATTTTGAGACATAGTGACAGTGCACAAAGCAAAATAGAAAATAATAAAAATAAAACATTACAAATATAAACAGATTGCATGTCATTTAAAAAACTAAGAAAAAAATAAAAAAAATAAAAAGATTACAAATGATTATTAATCAGTACTTTCAAGATACTTGCTTGACATGAGTCCATCATGCAACAAACCCTATACAGTCTTCAGGCAACCCGTGCCGTGAAACTCTCTGTACCATAAGAAAGAAACAAGACTAACAAAAATGATGTGCTTTGACAGTTGTTTGGTCTCTGTATTTTTACACAATTATCATGTATAAAATGCGTCCTCTTATTAAATGCAGATTTTTTTATTGGATATTATTTACTACAAAATAAAACATGAATTAAGTCCTTAATCTTTGCATATCGATACTAGGAAAATTTGTGCTTTAACATACTGCCTGGATGAATTTATTCTGGGCAAATGAAAAAAAAAGGAGATGCATCTCACTGACACAACTGCCACATTTACACGTAACTGGGAAATGTCAGAAGTCCTTTTAAATCTGATGATATACATGTAGGCTATATTAAGGGGCAGGAGCTGCACTAAACCCTCTCATTATAAAAAAATGAACAAAAATATCATGTTATGACAAAACAACAAAAAGTATGGTCTTTTCTGCCTATGCTTGGCATGCAGAGATGGTCCAGGCAGTGAAGGCTACCAGGCCTCTCTGGTTAGCTAAGGATAGGTTATAATCTAATAGGCTCTGACTAACCAGGAGGGGCAGAATGGTAAATTTGAGTGCTGTAATTTGGCAAGGTAACACCGGCCTTGTTTATATAGTGATGAAGGTCATCACAGAGCGCCAGGGCTGAATGTTCTGCTGATGTTCAGCAACGTAGCCAGTCCTTTTTGATCTCCCCAACTTTGACAATTTTCAGAGAGCTGTCATCCATTTTGAGATAGTGGGAGTCTTTGAAGAAGTAGCTGTGACCTGAAAATATTTAATAAGTGTAAATACCAAGTGAAAATAAATTAAAGGTTAAAGTTTAATGCAAATGTACTCATTTCACTCCAAAAAACAGTCAAAAATAGTCAAAAGTTTGGGGTGATACATTTTTGTTTATTCAGAATTGATGAATAGAAAGTTCAAAAGAACAGCATTTATGCATTTAAGTCTTTGCTCAATAAAAGTAATAATTTTTCCAACTCCAAACTTTTGAAAGGTAGTGTAAAAAACAGGTAAATTAAATAGTGTCTATGTCATATAGTTTAGTAAACCAATGACTCCATTTACCATCAATCAGTGATCCAATTATCTTTAAAATGTTGGTGAGTGGGGTCGAATTCACAACCTAGAGAAGCTGTTTTTACTTGCTCAGATCCGAACAGCCTAATTACAAACAGAGGAACCTTTCAGACTCCACACAGGCCTGCTCTATGAGGTGTGCACATGTGTGTGTATACCTGTATGAGTGTAGATATGTGTTAGTGACAGCAGAGGAAAGAGTTAGGTGGTCGTAAAAGAATGTATGTTAAGTAAATTCCAGTAAATCTAAACAAAACCAGAACACCTTCTGTAAAACTGTTATAAATCCTTAACCTCTCTCTTTTAGAGTTTTTATGTGCTCTTTAGACAGAGGCTGTTACTGGAAAAAATGCCTCATCTTGAGCAGGGGGGAACTATATAGCCAGATTTTTTTGTTGTTGAAGGCCTAAAGCCAGCAGTAATTGGGTTGGCGTTAACTGCCAAGAATCCTCTACCAAGCTCCACTTTAGTCCAACACACACACACACACACACACACACACACACACACACACATGACTAAAATGCAAGTGGTTATTGAAAGAAATCAGTAATATATGTGAGATCTAACAGAATGTAGGTGAGAGAGTGGAAAGGAATGAGATGAAAGGTTAATTCAGGGTAGAGGTCAGGTTTTACTTCTCTGCAGAGGAATACCACAGACAAAGCTAGATCTGAAGCCAGGCACTTGGCCATTTGCCTCTTACCATCACTATTAATGCTGAGAGCAGCATCTAGGTCATCAGGGACAGCACTCCAAGAATCTGCAATAATTTTAGGGAAGCCTGGATCCATCTTTTTCTTGGCTTCATTGTATCTAAAAAGAAATGGAAAAAAGTTAACATTATAATCAACATATTTCTGCTTTTCCTTAACTTTGAAATTCCCTGACACTTCTTCAGTAGGTGTGTAGTTTTAAAAGCATGTGTACATTCCAGTAAATCTCATGTCTGAGACAATAAATAACATAAATAACAGTCTGAGTTCATTTATATACAGTTTAACCTAGTCTCTTATTATATCCAGTATAATTTGCCTATACTTTAGTGGAAAAACACAGGCTTCTCACGAACTTTGATACGGGAAATATTCAGTGCAACTGTACGAACATTATTGTAAGTCTGTCAAATTTATAAAAATAATTTCTACATCTGTGGAACTTTATTATGGAACATAATTCACAACTATCTACTTCTACTTTAGTCTCTTAAGGAACACTTGTATTTTGCTCATTAATCACAGTGAACACACACTTTATTAAACCCACAGATGCTGAGAAATATTAAAAATAGATTACCTCCAGAAGTTGTTTCCAGCAAATAAGTAAGTCTTCTTGCTCTTGTGGAAGGAGTAGGCAGCATCAATTCCATGCAAATCTGAAGGAAGACCCATGCTGGAGATCTTCTTGGGATAGTCTCTCTCCAGAGTACTGGCAGAATATACCCACATCTCATCACCTAGAGAAACAATTAAAATACTTGAAATACAAATTGTGTTTGGAATACACACACACACACCACAGCTACATTTTTAAATTAGAAATATGGCACAACTCTAATATTGTGAAATATTATTATAATTTAAAATAACTGTTTTCAATTTTAATACATTTTAAAAATATAATTTATTCCTGTAATGACTAAGCAGAATTTTCAGCAGCCATTACGCCAGTCTTCAGTGTCACATGATCATTTGGAAATTATTCTAATGTGCTGATTTATTGCTCAAGAAACACTTTATTATATTTTCATTACATTATCAATGTTGAAAACAGTTGTGCTGCTTAATATTTTTGTGGAAACCATGATGCATTTTTCAGGATTCTTTGAGGAGTATAATTTCAAAGAACAGCATTTATTTAAAACACATTTTTTTGGTAACATTATAAAGGTCTTTGTCACTTTTGATCGATTTAATGCATCTTCACTGAATATATGTATAAACAAACAAACAAACATACTGACCCCAAACTTTTGAATGGTGGAGTATGTTTCTCAGTATGTAAATAAGGACATTTTAAACACAAGAGACAGAAACATACCCACATAAAACCTTAAACTTCTTGAAAATGAAGAGAGACATTTTTTAGGGAGAGAGAGAGAGAGAGAGAGAGAGAGAAACAACTTGTTTATACTTATGAGAATTTAAGAGAGACACATAGACAGTTCTTAACATGTCACTGAAGTCCACTGGCAAGCATTACACTATCCCATAAATACAGGATGCAAAACAGTAAACATACAAGACAATAGCCAAAAGAGAAGTAAAATAAAGCAGTATCATTTAGCAGCATCACATCATTTACTAGCACGTAATGGAATCAAAAGAAGATACTGGCAATGACATGCAAGTCAAGGTTTCACTAAGATTACCATCACTATCTTCTGTATTATTGAAAGCAAGAGACTTCACAGGGCAGTGTCATGATTTATTCATCACTGGATTCAACCTATACCAGGTCCCAAAAGCATTTTTCCAACCTCAAATCTGACATATATTAACCATAACCCATCTCTGTTTCTAGTGCCAGTATGTGAAGAGTGTGGGTATACAGAGATGGATTGTGGATAAACTATGTAAATGTGTGAATGTTAGATTTGGTAGGTTCTGTGCTAACTTAAATTGATAAAAATATGTTCTGCAGCCTGTTATTGATCAAATTCTATGATCAACATTTATTCTTGGCATTTCATGTTTTTGTATTCACAGCCATCAAACATTAGTGTCATACCCGGTTCTGTCTTTTACCTGCAAAGAAGACCGTCTTCTCCTCTAGAGGATTCTCATAAGCTGCGTCAATCTTCTCCGGAAGTTCACTCCAAAATGTAGCCACCAGCATGGGGCCTGTTGGCTTCCTCCTGACATCAGCGGTCCTGAAGAGGAATCTGTAACAGGAGGGGTTAGAGTTAGACAGGGCGACATTATGCTTGTGCACGTGTAAAGAGAAAGAGTAAACGAGAGCGAGAAGGGAGAAAAAATAAGCAAGTAAGATAGAAAGAGACAGCGTGTGCCAAACTCTAGCTACAATGAGGTGATTCACTGAGCAGATGTTTCTTATTATGGCTGAAGAATGAGTTAAGAGGCATTTGGACATTAAGAGGCATTTGGACATCCAAATTTGCCTGCTGCCCCAGAATAAACCACAAAAACAATACCAACCACCACAGACCTCTTTCCAATGACCTATTTTTTAAAAGGCCAAAACAGTTCATCCTCAGAGAAGAAGACAGAGATCTCAGGACTTTCAATTGACTACAGCTCACTACAGTGAAGAAAAGCTTCTGTGAGCAGCACACAGCCTCTGTCAGCAGTTATTTCACTTTATGGTAAACTTCAGATCACAACACTAAGTTAGAACTGAACTTTTATCAAACATTTTGCCCCAAAGTTCCACGTCTTCAGCTGAAAACACTTCTAAACATCCCTCTCTTCTCTGTTTTTGCTATTAAACATGTAAGAACAGAACACTCATGTAGTTAAAACACTACTTGAGTTTAGTTCTTATTTAGTTCTTAGAAACGAAAAGATATGAGACAGAAGAGGAATTCATTTCACCAAATGCCTTATAAATCTGAGCCAAAGATTAGATAAAACAAAGACTTTCTGGTGCAGCTGAGTTAAGAGGCATTTGGACATTAAGAGGCATTTGGACATCCAAATTTGCCTGCTGCCCCAGAATAAACCACAAAAACAATACCAACCACCACAGACCTCTTTCCAATGACCTATTTTTTAAAAGGCCAAAACAGTTCATCCTCAGAGAAGAAGACAGAGATCTCAGGACTTTCAAGTGACTACAGCTCACTACAGTGAAGAAAAGCTTCTGTGAGCAGCACACAGCCTCTGTCAGCAGTTATTTCACTTTATGGTAAACTTCAGATCACAACACTAAGTTAGAACTGAACTTTTATCAAACATTTTGCCCCAAAGTTCCACGTCTTCAGCTGAAAACACTTCTAAACATCCCTCTCTTCTCTGTTTTTTCTATTAAACATGTAAGAACAGAACACTCATGTAGTTAAAACACTACTTGAGTTTAGTTCTTATTTGCAGCTATCTTAGAAACGAAAAGATATGAGACAGAAGAGGAATTCATTTCACCAAATGCCTTATAAATCTGAGCCAAAGATTAGATAAAACAAAGACTTTCTGGTGCAGCTGAATAAACAAAACAGTAGTGAACCTTTTGGGGGTGCACTCTCTGGCCTTACTCTCTTCTCTCTTTTTCTCTGTGAAATGGCTTAAACAGCTGTCGCATTTATCCAGCTGGGTGAATATCTGAGATCTCAAGTCATTTTGCCCACACAGTAAAGTGAGACTTGCAGCTCCAGGGATTCTCAGATTCACAGAATTACGCTGTAATTTGATCATAACTCTATAATAATGACATTTCCACTGCTGAACCGTTTGACTCCTTTCCTGCACAGACAAATAATAATCATCAGCGAAAATATGGAGAGAGGTTCAGACACTTGGAGAAGATTGATTTGTAAGTTGACCTACCATAGGCAGAAATCACCAGACATCCCATGATGCAACAATACATATCAATAATTGGATTGCATTGTATTGTAGCGTGATTGAGACGTTTACTGTTTTAGAAGCATTTTTGCTATAACTTATAATTTGAACTTTAAGACTTTTATTTTAAAAACCAAATAAACAAACAAATAAATTGGATAAAAGCATTGGTAAAATGTAAACATTGTAAGATGATGGGGGGAAAAATGAGATATGTGACCCTGGACCACAAAACCAGTCTTTTAAGTCACTGGGGTATATTTGTAGCAATAGCCAAAAATACATTGAATGGGTCAAAATTATAGATTTTTCTTTTATGCCAAAAATAATTAGAATAATAAGTAAAGATCATGTTCCATGAAGATATTTTGTAAATTTCCTACTGTAAATATATCAAAACTTGATTTTTGATTAGTAATATGCATTGCTAAAGACTTCATTTGGACAACCAGCCCGTCTCGCTGGCTTCTGCGTACCATCAGCCTCGGCTATGCGATTCAGTTCGCCCGGCGCCCGCCCAAGTTCAGCGGTATCCGCTTCACTACAGTGAGGGCGGCCGATGCCCCTGTTCTGCGGGCAGAGATCGCAGTCCTACTGGCGAAGGATGCGATAGAGCCGGTCCCTCCAGCCGATATGAGGTCGGGGTTTTACAGCCCTTACTTCATTGTACCCAAGAAAGGCGGTGGGTTACGGCCAATCTTGGATCTGCGAGTTTTGAACTGGGCCCTTCATCGGCTACCGTTCAAGATGTTGACGCAGAAATGCATCTTCGGGTGCGTCCGTCCCCGAGATTGGTTTGCAGCGATCGACCTGAAGGACATGTACTTTCATGTGTCGATCCTTCCGCGCCACAGACCATTTCTGCGGTTTGCGTTTGAAGGACGGGCATATCAGTACAAGGTCCTGCCCATCGGGCTGTCCCTGTCTCCCTGTGTCTTCATGAAAGTCGCGGAGGCGACTTTGCATTCAGTTGAGCTAAAGTTTCTTTCATTGAAAACTCTGCTTCTGCTTGCACTGGCCTCCATCAAGAGGGTAGGGGACCTGCACGCATTTTCGGTCGACGATTCGTGCCTAGAGTTCGGGCCGGCTGACTCCCAGGTAATCCTGAGGCCCCGGCCCGGCTACGTGCCCAAGGTTCCCACTACACCCTTCAAAGACCAAGTGGTGAACCTGAAAGCGCTGCCCCCGGAGGAGGCAGACCCAGCCCTAGCTTTGCTCTGTCCCATCCGAGCCTTGAGATGCTACGTAGACCGGACACAAAGCTTCAGGACCTCAGACCAGCTCTTTGTCTGTTACGGAGGCCGGCAGAAGGGGAAGGCCGTCTCTAAGCAGAGGATGGCCCACTGGATTGTGGATGCCATCACCCTGGCTTATCAGGCACAGGGTGTGCCCTGCCAATTCAGGCTGCGAGCTCACTCAACTAGAAATGTTGCATCCTCCTGGGCGTTGGCTCGTGGCGCCTCGCTGACAGATATTTGTAGGGCTGCGGGCTGGGCGACCCCCAACACGTTCGCTAGATTCTATAGCCTCCGTGTGGAGCCGGTATCCTCCTGTGTTCTCACCTCAAACGGGTAGTGGCGCCGAGAGGCCCCGGTTAGTGTCGGCTTGCTAAAACTGCTCCAGAGTGTCCTACAGTAGACCCTGTTGAGATCCTCCGTCACCCTCGGCAGCGGACGCGGCGGAACGTCCGGCGCCGGGCCTTCACGATGAATCCGCGGGAACCGTGGAAGGCTGGGTTCCATATTGAGACCTAAGCAGTTCTCGTATGTGTATAGCCCACGGTATAGCCATAGAGCCCGTGTTTCCCCGGCAGACTTCTGCCTTTCCAAGAGGGTTACAATCACCTCCATTTCTCCATATACACCTAAACGGATGCTATATGTGTATTTGCTTCCGAAACCTCCTTCGGGAAGGATGGGGCTTCCGCAGCGTCCCTGTTCCAAGTGGAGCGGGTACGTTTTCCCAGTGTTATCCAGTCTCACTTAGTAAGGTAGTGCTTTGAAAAATGGTGAGTGGAACTACTTGTCCCGAGCCCCGGCCTACACCAGATAGGGGCACAGGCGGCTCGCACAGGGCACTGGAAGGGGCAGCACACCATGGCGCTTTGGTAGGGATCCCAATTCGTCGGTCACGACGTGACTCGTAGTGACCGACTGAAAGGGAACGTCTCGGTTACGTATGGTAACCCTCGTTCCCTTTTTTTTGCACCCTCAGATTCCAGATATTCAAATAGTTGTATCTCGGTTGTAAATAGTTGTAAATATTGTCCTATCCTAACAAACCATACATCAATGGAAAGCTTAATTATTCACCTTTCAGATGATGTATAAATCTCAATTTAAAAAAATTGACCCTTATGACTGGTTTTGTGGTCCAGGGTCACATATTACATTTCCCCTCATTTTCCTCCATCAGAGAGAAAAAGGACTGTAAAGATAAAGGAAATAACAGGCTTTATTTTGGATTTATGGAATCAACATGATCTGGATACTTTAGATCAGTATTTCAGGATCTTGCTTAGAGGGTATAAGAGTCCTATACAGAGTACTATACAGAGTACTATACAGACATACACTCATACCCAGGCAGAATACACTCTTTTCAGTGTGTGTGTGGTCCTGTGATGATCTCTGTAACCGCACAGCAGTCAGCTTTAAAACCGGAGGTGTGTGTAGAATAGTGGCTGGCTCTTTTTCGTTCCAGAGCTCCTGATCCATGAGCACGTTGGTGAAAACCAATGACAGCACTCTTTATACTCCCCTTATATTTGCTTTGGACACACCTACAAAATGTTAACATTTATGATATTTACTGTACCTCTGATTATGCAAGCAATAAGTGTGGAGCATGAATAGTATTTCAAAACTGAAAAACAAATTAGCAAAATGGTAAATGATATTTAAATAGACGTAATACATGTGTGTTGATTTATTTAGGCTGTTTCTCAGACACCCGCATAACGGGGTAACTCGAGCAACTTCAATACTGTGGCAGAGGTACCCTGAACGGTACTCTAAGAGATATTATTGACTAATTGTTTTAAGGTAAACAATTTGTTACAATACTGGTTAGGGGTTGATTTTAGGATATGACAATATGTTGTTTACAAATTTTAAGTCTCCTATAGAACAACACTATAAAAACAAGTACAAATGTCTAATATAATCAGCAGTTTGTAAAGTGTTTACTTTCTCATGACCATTTGCTACATTAAAGCAGTCGGCAAATTTAGTCTCCCACTAAATCATCCTAGCAAAATTCAGCCAGACAAAAACAATGTACTCAAAGGAATAAAAATGCCCCCTGATATGGTAATGTCTGTGTTGAGGTATTTTGATTTTGGGATGTGGGATCAGATTTGTGGACTTTCCCTTCTCTATACACTCTCACTTACTTTGTTTGAATTATGGACTAACAATGTGGCTAAAGCATCAGCACGATTCTTCTCCTGTTTAAATCGTCATCCTGTTATTCCAACCACTATAAAGCCATAACTTCCATTCATAATGATTTCAAAAATATATGCTGAAGTTTTTTAATAGGCAGATAAACTGGGTTATGAAGTTTTCCCCAGATGGCCATGGGGCCATTTCCTGTGCATGCAAGCGGAAAGATTTTGAAACCACTGCAAACAGATGGATTGAGCATTCCCTGCCAGCAAATGCTAAAATGAAATAACTGCTACCCACAGTTGCATGTGCCTGGTATCATGGTGTTCTATTCAACCGGTCAAATTATTGCATAGATGTTTTGTGGACAAAAAGCCAAAAGTAAGCAATACTATGATCCTGCCTGAATATACTCTGTATGCCTTTGTCTCTTTGTTTGTTTTGAATACGCGCCCTCTAGCGGCGAAAAATTACATATTGTGCCTTTAACATTCAGGCCTTTCTGTGAATTGGGTGTCCTTAGTTACCTGTCCTTAAAGAAGAAAATCTCTCCTCTGATCTGGGCTACAGCATCAAATATGATGTTTTCATTACATACATCCATCGGCGTGACCGGAGGGAGATCAGTGGGCAATGGTTTGTCCGTTGATACACCTGTACAGAGAAAAGTGTTAAGAGGAATAAAGAAGAGAAAAATACTTATAATCATCACAACATCTGTATAAACAAGTATAATGAACTTGCAAGTACTAAAGTGCCTAAGTTAAGTCTATTCTATTCAATACCGTCTTCAACACTTCACACTCACCATAGAGCTCCTGGATGCCTTTAACGTCATCATCAGACAACCTCAAGGTTTTGGTGAATGTGTAGATGGGCGCCATGAGAGCTCCAGTGTCCTCAGAGTGCTCCAAACCCAGGGCATGGCCAAACTCATGGGCCGCCACCAGGAATAGACTATAGCCTGAGAAAAAGATAGAGGCCAATTTATTAATCTGACTACAATTACATAAGTATAGAATCACAACAAGAGAGACAGAGACAGGAAGAATTTTTTTTTTATGACATCACAACAACTAAATATTTTTTGCATGCTACAAATTATAATGAAATAATGATACAAAATATCTCTATGCCACCTTGGTCAGGACAGAAACCCCACTTGCGGTCATCATCAAAGCTTTTGGTGACGGCACACCACATCTTCCCATCACTGCGTCCTGACGTGGTGCAGGAGTCGTAAGTGTTGCCCAGAAATTTAAAGGGGAAGACACAGGGTGCACCTTCTGAATTTCCTCCGACCGTTGACATGGCTGTGTCATTTAAATAAATACCAAACATTTTAGAGGTTGATAATGACAAAATTGGTGTTATAAAAGAATAGAGGGTTTAAAAAGTATGATCTATAGCATTCTAAACATGAAAAAGGGCCAGCTCTTAATTAGAACAATAAACAAATAAAATGCTTAACAACGAATAAAATACCAAGAGAAGCAAAAGAAGCAGTGATATGGAAACTGTTACGATTAAGTGTGTGTATCTGTTTTTCAAATATGATGTCACAAGCTATAACACAAGCTGTAGTTAGTGGTAAACCCACATATTAGATCATGGCATTTGAACCTAAAGAAAAACTACAGGAGCTAAGAGAAGCATCAGGGAGGAGTCCTTCTCAATTACACAGACTCAACAGTCTGAATCACACTGACTCGACAGATTCAAAATGAAGGACACACAAGCTACATGGCATAAACAGAGCTGTGTTTTGTTAAAGTTCTGCTCAAGTATGGGACTGTGGTCCAAAGCTCCAATTCAAAGTGATGGCTTGCACCATACTGGACTTGTTTTTGTGACTCTTTTATACAGCACACACACATACACAAATAGGAAGAGAGGGCTGCATTCCCAGGGAATTATAACCAGATGAGGAGTTCTGTGCTCCTGACTTGCTTATGCCAGATCAGTAACACAATGGAAAAGATCTCGTAATAAAGAAAAAAAAAAACTTTTACAGGCTGCTGGAAACTGAGGAGTGAATGGAGAGTGGAGTGAATGGAGAACTGCTTTAAAGACTGACTGACCTTAAAAACCAATTGCATAGACAGATACATTACTGATTTAAAGGTGGGGTAAGCGATTTTTCAAAAACGCTTCAGAAAACTGATTCGGGCTGAGTAGCAAAACAAACTTGTAGCCAATCAGCAGTAAGGGGCGTGTCTACTCTTGATGTGGAGGAGAGAGCGTTCAGTGCTCACATTAGCGAGCCGAGCGACAGAATGATAGAGATGGCGGATAAAAAACAAAAGAGGAGGGGCGTGTTTGTTTTGGTGATTTCAAATGTCAACATTGGCTACCAGAAATCGCTTACACCACCTTTAAAGTCATTGTAATGACACCCAACAATTAGTTTTGTTATTGCATCACTATGTTTCCACTTAAGTGAATGGTAAAATGTCTTGAGCAACATCTAAACATTTGTTGTTTTACATGTGCTTTTTTTTTGCCACTTTCACCTTTGGTTTGCTTACAGTGAGGTTTGTAAGGCACTATTCTGTAATATGTTTTTAAGAGTATGCAGTATGAAGAATTTAATTGAACAGAAATATACAACATGAAACAGGAATATTTTCAGTGATTTTTCAGGATTCTTTGATTAATATAAAGTTCAAAATAATATAAATTATTATTATTTTTATTTTTTAAACTTTTTTGTAACAAATTGCTTTTTATCAATTTAATGCTTACTGAAGTATTAATTTCTTACAGACAAACATTTGAATTCATTACCAAACATTTGAATGGTAGTATAAGTTATACTTAGTTTGGGTTTTCAAATAAATCTAAATAAATATTGCTCTGGATTGAGACTTATTACAACTTATAGACTGACCTGTCTCAGGACAGAATCCATAAGTCTTGTCACGGTCATAATCTTCGGTAGTGGCACACCAACGGTACCCATCATCCCGGCCTGAGGTGGTGCAACTATCATATTTTTCCCCCTGAAATGTGAAGGGGAACTTACAAGGAGCTCCATCTGCATTTCCATCCAATGTGAACAGGACTGCAACACAGGAAGGAACAAAACTCAGTGAGTTATGACATTATTACAGTCACGATGTGTCAGACACTTTGGATGGGAACAGTGTCGAATTATACTTTACTCTAAAACTTAGCACAAAGGGTACTCACGCTCATGAGGACAGAAGCCATACTTTCCATCTTCATCAAAATTGTATGTGGTAGAGCACCATAGGAACCCATCATCTCGACCCTGAGAGGTGCAGCTGGTGTATTCTTTACCCATGAACAAGAATGGAAACTTACAGAACTCCCCTTCTGCATTGCCATACTTCACCTTTACCACTAAATCAAGATGGAGAGAGAGCAGGAAATCACTGTATCACATTTGATAAACAAAATGGTTAAAAAAACAGCTACTTGAATTTAAAGAGGTAACAAGTCACCAGAAGCAAGACAATTCATATACCTTGTCCCTCTCCCAATGTCCACAGCTCATCATCATCGAAGTGAGAGTCTCCTCCAATACCAGGTCCAGGAGCAAAGGCATGAGCCAGAAGACCATCCTTCCCATCAAATGGGTAACCATCACCATGTTCTATAACAAATAGAACTAATTTAACTCAAATATTTGTTTTAATCCAACATACCAGGCTTAGTGTTTTGGGTAGGTAATTGTGTCGTTTTAACAGAGGTCTCATGTATAGTTTCATTTTCTTTAGATTTTGTCCACGATTTTTTATTTACAGCATCCTCAGGAAAGATTTACACTGTGACAGTACTGTATTTTTTGTAATTGCCTTGTGATCTCATAATGGTATTTCCAAAGACCACAATGAAAATCAATCTCTGGTGCAGAAAGCTTTATACTAAGAATTTTCCAGAGTGACTGTGGTTAGTATGCGACTTAGTAGTTAAGAGCAGTGGTTAGGGGAAAAAAATGGATCTGGGGTTTGTACATTTACACCACAGTAGTTTAGAAACTTACATAGAAACATATTTTATAGAAAGACATAGACAAAAGGTTTTGTTGAATACCATTTCGGCCAAAGTTAATCATGATGTCAGCTTCTCCATCCATGATCCTGTTGAATTTCAGAGGTGTGACATCACTCCAGACTTTAAATGCACGAAAGAAAGCATCATCAATAGTTTCTTCATCCAGATCTGGGGTGTGCCCTAAGATCCTGCGGAAGAAGAAAACAATATTGCCTTCTTTTTTAACTATAATTTCCAGTGATTATTCCATATTTTCTAGAAAATGAAATACAGAAATATTTAAGATAATTTTTCCCCTATTTATGTAATATTTGTTTATCTCTATGTTACTCATTTATGGAATTATTTGCTATATTGTTATAGTAGAAAAGTGGGTACTGCATTTGCTTTTTTCCTCATGACTTTGAGTGGCTTAAGAATGCATATGCTAATAAGTCCAGACAAAAAGTCGCCAGTCGTCATATTTGTATTTCTAAAATGCTTGATAAACGAGTTTAAATGCATGTAATATTGAAAATTATGCTGTATTCAATTTGTCTTATATTTTTGTACATGGGCGTTGCCGCTTATTAATATATTTTCACCTTTGCTTATTACTGTTACCTCTAGTAGTTTTCTGTGTGTGTGTTTTTTTTATTCCAATTGATTTTTGGTTCATTTTAAGCCAGCAATAGTCATTTTCAAACAACCAAGAATGCATATGCTAATAAGTCCAGACAAAAAGTCGTCAGTCGTCATATTTGTATTTCTAAAATGCTTGATAAACGAGTTTAAATGCATGTAATATTGAAAATTATGCTGTATTCAATTTGTCTTATATTTTTGTACATGGGCGTTGCCGCTTATTAATACATTTTCACCTTTGCTTATTACTGTTACCTCTAGTAGTTTTCTGTGTGTGTGTTTTTTTAATTCCAGTTGATTTTTGGTTCATTTTAAGCCAGCAATAGTCATTTTCAAACAACCCAGCGTGTTGGGTCAAACATTTAAGGCAAACCAGCTGGGTTTGTCCATATTTGACCTAGCGCTGGGTTGGCAAAATAACCCAAATTGGGCTGTTTTTAAGCATTTTTAGAGCGCAGTTACACCAAAAGAGTATGCTGTCGTATTTGACGCCATATCCCAGCAAGTAATACAATTTGTAAGAGTTTATGGAAGTGATTCTTCTGAGGCAATATATGTTAAAGACAGCATGTTCCTAGGAGACGTTGATATTCTTAAACAGCTGTACTAATAAATATAGGAATATTATAACAGGTGATACAGGGCAAAAGCTTATTGTGGACCAGTGTATTTAGAATTGGAATAAAGCTTGGTGTGTTTGTGAAATATACTCTTTAAATAATAAAGACAAAGGCTATATTTAAAATGTTTCATGGTATATGCAGCTAAAAGTGTGTTAGAGAGATTTAATCTGGATATTGATTATTCCTGTGATTTGTTTGCTCAATGGAAAAGGAGTCTATATTATCAATCTATTTTGTTTTTCAATGAACGTAATAATAATAATATCTTTACTTTTCTGGTACATCTTTTTATTATTTGTGGAAAATTTCACATACATTAGAAGAAGGTCAGGGTCCAAGCCACATTTCATCCATTTTCCTCAGGAGACTTAAGGACTACTGCACCAGTTTGGAGAACATTGTTAATAAAAAAGCAAACAAGACTTGTAATTTTGTCCACGAATATATAGTTGTTGATTACTGAATAAATGGTTTGCACACTCTTGTACATTATTGTTGTGTATTTTGTTCTGGTTAATAATAAAAAAAAAAGAAGAAGAAGAAGAAGAAGTTTATAGTGTCGCCATAGAAATGCACAATCCTCTCGTAATTAGGCTACCTTAATTATTATGACATGCCGTGAACGCAGCATTCAGCTCATCCAACCACAATCAAACACACCTGAACAAGCTAATCAAGGCATTTCAGATAACTAGAAAGCTACAGGCAGGTGAGTTTGATCAGGGCTGGAAATGACCTGATCTCCTTGGATCTTTAAAACCCCATTTTACAGAGGTTGATATTGCAGCAACATGTATTCGTTTTAGTTTTGTGCGCGTCGCTGTCCGCTCCTCCTGACGCACCAATTCAGCGCATTTTCCAGCAGAGATCATTGTGAGATCGCAGGTTTCCTGTCAGACGCACCAATTCAGCGCATTTTCCAGCAGAGATCATTGTGAGATCGCAGGTTGGGAGGATGACAGCTTGAGTGTATTTCTTGTTGATTGCTCTTTTATCGTGTCTGTTTGGATACTTGAGCATAACTCCCGTTATTTCAAGATGAACCACAGGTGAGAATATCTGTTGACTTCATTACACAGCCTGAAGAAATACAGAAATAAGGGATTCTCAGTATTTGAAAGTAATTAACACAGTTTAGGAAGGAGTAGTAGGTTTTAAAACTCTTTTGATTTGAAGCAGACAAATATGTTAAATTTGTGTTTGGGTTTGAGACCTATTGCGAAACCCCTGATTTACAAATGCTGAAACCACACTCCCTGGCCTCCCCTAATGATCCTCTAGTGGACGGTTTGTCCGGCGAGGCTGATGGTCGTGCCGTCCCGTCGAGGACGTTCTTCTGATAAAGACTGCCCTGGAGGACAAATACTGTCGATTTCACCGTGGGCCTGTTTGCGTGCTGCCTGTTTTCAGTGAGTTTCAGTTAATAATGGATGCTGAGGGTCCCAACACAGAGACAGACA